TGGCACTAAATCCAAGGCATACATACATACATACATACATACATACATACATACATACATACATACATACATACATACATACATACATACATACATACATACATATTTGAGGAGATGAGAAGTTTCCTAAGGGATATTCCATGGGACACAGACCTCAGAGCTAAGTCTGTACAAGACATGATAGACTATGTCACCCAAAAGTGTCAGGAGGCAGTAAACAGGTTCATCCCGGCCCAAAAGGAAAAATCCGAGAAGCAAAAGAAGAATCCAATGTTTAATAGGGCATGTATGGAAACAAAGGAAATGTACAAAAGGGCGTTATCTTGAGATGATTTCGGGGCTTTAGTGTCCCCGCGGCCCGGTCCTCGACCAGGCCTCCACCCTCAGGAAGCAGCCCGTGACAGCTGACTAACACCCAGGTACCTATTTTACTGCTAGGTAACAGGGGCATAGGGTGAAAGAAACTCTGCCCAATGTTTCTCGCCGGCGTCTGGGATCGAACCCAGGACCACAGGATCACAAGTCCAGCGTGCTGTCCGCTCGGTCAACCGGCGTGGAGGAACTTCCGAAATAACAGAACACCGGAAAGCAGAGAGAGAGATAACAGAGAACCATTAATGAGTATGTTAGTGTGAGAAGAGAAGCAGAGAAAAATTATGAAAATTATATAGCAAGCAAAGCCAAGACCGAACCAAAGCTACTCCACAGTCACATCAGGAGGAAGACATCAGTGAAAGAACAGGTAATGAAACTTAGAACAGGCGAGGACAGGTATACAGAGAATGACAAAGAAGTGTGTGAAGAACTCAACAAGAGTTTCCAGGAGGTCTTCACAATAGAACAAGTTGAGGTCACTGCGCTAGGAGAGGGGGCAGAAAATCAGGCCGCCTTGGAAGGGTTCGAAATTACGAGACATGAGGTCAAGAGACACCTGTTGGATCTGGATGTGAGAAAGGCTGTTGGTCCAGACGGGATCTCACCATGGGTACTGAAAAAGTGTGCAGAGGCACTTTGCTTGCCACTCTCCATAGTGTATAGTAGGTCACTGGAGACGGCAGACCTACCAGAAATATGGAAGACGGCTAATGTGGTCCCAATATACAAAAAGGTGACAGACAAGAGGCACTGAACTACAGGCCAATGTCCTTGACTTGAATACCATGCAAGGTGATGGGGGAAGATCGTGAGAAAAAACTTAGTAACACATCTGGAGAGAAGGGACTTCGTGTCAAATCGCCAACATGGGTTCAGGGAGGGGAAATCTTCCCTTACTGGCTTAATAGAATTCTACGACCAGCTGACAAAGATTAAGCAAGAAAGAGAAGGCTGGGCGGACTGCATTTTCTTGGACTGTCGGAAAGCCTTTGACACGGTACCCCATAAGAGGCTGGCACATAAGCTGGAGAGACAGGCAGGAGTGACTGGTAAAGTGCTCCAGTGGATAGGGGAGTACCTAAGCATAATACCTAAGTATTAAGCTAAGTACCTAAGCATAGTAATAGGAAGCAGAGAGTTACAGTAAGGGGTGAGACCTCAGATTGGCGTGAAGTCACCAGTGGAGTCCCACAGGGCTCTGTACTCGGTCCTATCCTGTTTCTGATATACGTAAATGATCTTCCGGAGGGTATAGACTCATTCCTCTCAATGTTTGCTGATGATGCCAAAATTATGAGAAGGATTAAGACAGAGAAGGACTGCTTGAGGCTTCAAAAAGACTTTGACAAACTGAAGGAATGGTCGAACAAGTGGTTGTTAGAGCTTAACCCCAGCAAATGTAATGTAATGAAGATAGGTGTAGGGAGCAGGAGAACAGATACAAGGTATCATTTGGGAGATGAAATTCTTCAAGATTCAGAGAGAGAGAAAGACTTGGGGGTTGATATCACGCCAGACCTGTCCCCTGAAGCCCATATCAAGAGGATAACATCAGCGGCATACGCCAGGTTGGCCAACATAAGAACGGCATTTAGTAACTTGTGTAAGGAATCATTCAGAACGTTGCATACCACATATGTCAGACCAATCCTGAAGTATGCAGCTCCAGCATAGAGTCCATATCTAGTCAAGCATAAGACTAAGCTGGAGAAGGTTCAAAGGTTTGCCACCAGTACCCGAACTGAGAGGTATGTGCTACGAGGAGAGACTACGGGAGTTGAACCTCACGTCGCTGGAAGACGGAAGAGTTGGGGAGGATATGATCACCACATACAAGATTCTCAAAGGAATTGCTAGGGTAGATAAGGACATGCTATTTAACACAAGGGGCACATGCACTAGGGGACACAGGTGGAAATTGAGTACCCAAATGTGCCACAGAGATATTAGAAAGAACGTTTTTAGTGTCAGAGTGATTGACACATTAGGCAGTGAGGTGATGGAGGCTGACTCCATACACAGTTTCAAGTGTAGATGTGATAGAGCCCAGTAGGCTTAGGAACCTGTTCACCAGTTGATTGACAGTTGAGAGGCGGGACCAAAGAGCCAGAGCTTAACCCCCGCAAGCACATACATACATACATACATACATACATACATACATACATACATACATACATACATACATACATACATAGTTTTAAGGAGAAAATTACGAAGACACTCATTAGCACTGATATAAAGGACTGTGTTCCAGTATCGTGGTTATATATATACATTTTCGTTAGTTTAGTTTATTTATTATGCACCCCATACCCATCTTGTGGGCGGTAGTGGAAAGGGTTTCAGAGGCACATTGGGCTCAGGGACTGAATTCATCTAGCCATAACCCCACAATTCATTTAGCTAAGCAAGTTACAATCTTGATGAGCTAATTACAAAATTCAATGCACATCTTCGCACCAACAATGGAGTCACACATCTATATATAGCTCCTATCTGCTTTTGTGTCAAAAATTCTTGCATTGTACCTGTAAACTTTTTTTTTATTGTAATTTTTCTGAGGTTGGAAGAAAACGTGCTCAGATTGGGGACTTGTTTATTTTATAATGGTAAATAATAAATTAATATATAATAAATTAATAAATAATAAATTAATTATTATTATATAATAAATAATAATAATAACAAATAGTATAATAATAAGCAATTATTTTTAATGAATCAAATAGCTAATTAGGATGAATGATAAATAATTATTGACTAGTGCATAACAATAAAGTATTAAGGAATAATTATAATGAATAATCCTTAATGATAAAGTAGAAATCAAATACAATTAATAACTACATCCATAGGTAGTAAATGAAAGTTGCATTAATTTAATTACACTAATTACAATTCATGGGAATATTTCTTAGCTATCTGCAGGCTTATCACTGTGGGGGTTCCGGCGGAGCACATTCTGGCTTGGCGCTATCTACTGATAATTATCTTATTTTATCAATTGAACATGAAATGTAAAAGTGGCATATTTAAGTACTGCATTTAACATTGGCCTGGGGACTTCGCACAACTTTTTTATATTATCTAAAGATAATACATATATGATACACTACAGAAACACATTTGTAGTAAATAAATTATATTTAGCATAAGACAAATAGATTTTATACATAAATAATTATGCATTTATATTTGCTTTTTAATATTAAACTTAGTCATTATTTTAATCTAAAAATTACATTTTTTCATTATATAGAGATTAACTCAAATAAAGCCTGATTTGAATATGAGAGTAGAAGTGTGAGGTAGGGAGGAGAGGGATGAGGGTGTGAGGTTTGGAAGGGAAAGGAACTATTAGGAGAAAGTGCCAAACCATCACGACTACATAGCATTGGGAAGGGGTCATGATAAGGGTTTGGGATGGGACGGGGGAAGGAATGATGCCCGACCACTTAGACTGTCGGGGATTGAACTCCAACCTGCATGAAGCGAGACCGTCGTTCTACTGTCTCTATACGGAGACCATAGGGCATGTAAGGATGGGAAAGGATGAGAAAGGTGTGAGTATAGGAGAGAGTGGAGGAGGTGTGAGGCTGCAACCCATCCTCCTGTTTAGATAGTACTTTTTGTAACTATGTGCACCATAGTACAAACATTGACGTACTAAGCAATTAGATAGTAGAACTTTATACTACTATATTTACTTTATACAGGTAGTCTGAAAAAAAATAATATAAAAAACAAACTTAAATATTCCTAGGCCTAGTATAGCACACATATGTAATATATTAGGCCTCAGATAATGTGTATTAGGCCTAGGAAGGTTAGTTTAGTTTGTCTTTGCCACATAAGTACAAAATTGTTTCAAGATATGCCTAACATGCTTATGCTGTCCCCTAACAACCCGTCCCCTGGTCCAATGAATTATTATTATTATTATTATTATTATTATTATTATTATTATTATTATTATTATTATTATTATTATTAAACTAAGGCTCTTTTCCGTACTGGGCAGCATAGCACTATGTAAACTCTTGTTTTTTTCACTTTCTTAAATACCACGTCGTAATTACTTGCAACTAGGTATAATAGTAATAAAAGAAAACTTGTTTTCTATGTTGGGCAGCATAAGCTAATAATGGCTATTATTTTATGATTATTTATTGGGTTTTAAGTAGTTAACAGAGTCAGCTTATATAACTGAGCTGTTCAGTTCATGGACAGGGTCATCTGAGCAAGTTTTCTTGCATCTGATGCCTCTGTTTTCCGTACAGTAAATGTAACTAGCTGGGACTTGAGTGGCTGTTGTTGGTTGCATTCTAGGAAAGGTCAGTCATTCACCTAGGCCCTATTGGTGAATATTTAACCTCGATAAGCTTAACAAGCTTTGTGTACTCAACAATAGGAAACCTATCTCACTCCACTGCACTTAAACCACATTTAGATATCTACAATTCAATATCTGGTAATAAAGTCGCCTTTAATTACTCATAACTGAGAAACTAAGTTTCCCACTTAAATATGTAATCCAAAGTTACCATACCATCAGTACATAGTTATTATAGAAATGTGACTTATTTTGAAAATTTAATGTAAATATTCCATGTCCCCCACAGACCACAGTGAGAGTTCGAGTAATCAACTGGCAGAGGAACTGTCACAACTTCGGTTGGAGAACGAGAAACTCGTCGTCAGGAATCGTTCATTGCAAAGTGAGGTGGAAGAGCTGCGCAGAGTGAAGGAGAACATAGTGGGGGACGATCAACTTAAGCCGCGGATCAATGAAATGACAATAGAACTTACACATGCCAAGGAGGCTCTTTCGGGTAAGTACAATGTCTCAAGTTCACACCCATAGAACAGAAAAGATTTAAGTTCACATACATTCAAACACAAGCAGCAATAAGGTTCCTTATCAAACCACATCTACGTGATAGTAAACTCTTCAATACATTTATTCACAAATGCTAATTTTGTTAAAATTTGAATTCTTTATCAAATTAAAACATATTCGGGCGATGCGTCACAATAACGTAGCTAAAGTATGTAAGTATGGTTATCAACTTGAGAATGGTTCAGGACGGATCGAAACGTCATCGTCCCTTCACTTTCTAGTGTGTGGTCTGGTCAACAATAAAACATATTCCCTTTTTCAGTAAGACTTGTAATAGTAGTACAACCTTAATAATTTATCTCGGTAAGCAATAGCTATATTAATTTTAATAATAAAAATACTCCAAAGATACTTGGGTTCATTCTCTAATCACATTCAGGAATCTTGGGTTCAAATGCTAGGCGGGACAGAAATGATTGGGCACATTTCCTAATACGTAATGCCTCTGCTCACCTAGCAGTAAATAGGTGCCCAGGAGTTAGGCATCTGTTGTGGGGATGCATCCTGGAGAGTGTCAGTAGTTCCACCTTGGGGGGGTCCTTGATATGAGCCTGATGTATATATGTATACAAGCTGTCTTTCACTGAGAAAATAAATTATGTACTGTACATATATACTGTATTTATACACTATGTACTTATACAAGACTGTACATATACATTTATTATATTTTGTTTAAATTTTTTTAAATGTTTGATAAAATGTCATTTTCATTCTACTTATTATTTCTGTTCAGTATATTTAATGCAGGGATAATTCCCTAGTAATTAATATCATAATAATTTGTACTATATACATGCTCTTTTTTTTCATTCAGCATTGAAAGCAGATAGAAAACGTTTGAAAGCAGAGAAATTTGATTTGTTGAACCAGATGAAGCAGTTGTATGCAACACTTGAAGACAAAGAAAAAGAATTACGGGACTTTATTCGAAATTATGAGCAGGTATAATTAAGGTGTTCGTCGTTGACTACTGAATATCGAATGTTGAAGAATTTTTGTTATTCACTTAGTGCCCTTATGCCAGTGTACTAAAATTGTACAATTTTCATTACTGAATTGCATCTAGACCTCTCCACTAATGATACACACTGCTTCATTTCATTTAAATGTCAGCTGTCATAATTACAATGGAGGTATGATTGTTATAATCTTAGGATTATATACACTTGTAACTTCATAATTATGACACTTGAAGTGTAATATCATTTCATTACCTGTTTTGGCAAATGTTTACCTTTGTCAGCGCATGAAGGAGAGTGATGAGTCCCTACGCCACCTTGCGGCAGAGAGAGATGAAACAGAACGAGAAAAGTGGAACATCCTGAAGCATGCTAGGGATGAATCAGAGAGAGTTGTTAAACTCTCTGCCCAGCTTGGTCTCAAGGAAGCTACTGTAAAGAGGCTTCAAGAAGAACTTGAAATGGTATGAATTTTATCTGAAATACATCAGAATTAATTATAAATACCTTAGATTTCTTGTAAATAGTGTGTTGTAAAATTCTTAGACATCATACAAAATATATTTTGTGAATTCAGGCATTATTGGCATGCTGTTTTAGGGTTTGTATATACACACATTCAATCTTGCATTGGTAACTTTTAGAGGTATAATTCTTTGGTACCTGCTTATTTAATTCTTTGGTACCTGTATAAGCATTTCTGCTGTAAATACATTAATTTCATATTAAATGCATTTCTACTTGTTCAAAATTGGCCAAGGGTGGTATTAATAGGGTCTTGTGATGCAGTGGAGAGCACAGTCTGAGAGGTCCAAGGTTGGATTCTCACAAGAGAGAAGAAGTGTTTGGCGAACGTTTCCTCTCACCTGATGTCTCTTCACCTAGTAGTAAATAAGCACCCAGAGGTTAGACAGTTGTGGGGTTGTAGCTTGGGAAGCGTCAGTAGTTGGCCTGAGATGATCTCGATAAGCCCAACAGTATGTCTGTCCCACAACTATGGGAACTATGAGGGGTTTCCCGCGGCCGCTGTGGAAGTCAACTGGTGGTCACATATATATTTATATATATACTGTATATATATAATATATATATATATATATATATAATATATATAAATATATATATATATATATATATATATATATATATATATATATATATATATATATATATATATATATATATATATATATATATATATATATATATATATATATATATATATATATATATATATATATATATATATATATATGTATATATATATATGTATATATATATATGTATATATATATATATATATATATATATATATATATATATATATATATATATATATATATATATATATAATGAAGGATGGCCTTGATGAAGAAAGTTTACAATTTGTTAAGGATCCTAGCCTTTCATCTAATAAAATATTTTTGCATATTTGTTACATTCTGGGAGAAGTACCCACTGTTGTCTGTTGAACAAGATAACTTGGCAAGATTGAAGATGTGGCCTCATTTTTTTTTTAGTACAAGACATCTTGAAGAGATGGCTAGGGTTTAAATTTGTTTTTAGTATCTTTTAAAATATTCAGTAAAATATTCACCTGTATGCTGTTTTGAATCGTTGCTAGTCCTGAAATGGTCAGACTATCCTGTCATTAAATGTGACTTGGCTCTGAAATGTTATTAGTCACTGTTAAATGTTTTGTAGTAATATGCTACTTCAGTAGGTGCAGTCTTCAAGACTGAATAGAGCAGAATAAGACCTTAATTGTCCTTGTTGTTCAAGGTGTTTTGATGTTCGTCGATTTTGGTCAAGTTTCTTCTTCTCCACTTGCATTATTGTCAACTGAATGTTAGTCCACTGGATTGCCATGTCCCAACTTAAGAGTTGCATTTTGCTATATTAAAAAGCATTTGCCAGTCCTTTGATAATTTTTAAAGTTCATGTAAATCATTTACCACAGAAGCAGTGTGTATGTGTGTGTATGTATTCGCCAATCTGAATTTAGCTCCAGTTCTTGAGCCCACCTCTTAACTTTCAGTCGACTGGCATAGTTGAATTCTATCATCTATACCTAAATCCATGTTTGGAGTTACCCACCACTTACTAGCTCAGTGCGCCTCTTCAATACATATGTGTGTGTGTGTGTGTGTGTGTCTCACACCCCTATTAGCTATTCAGTTTTGAGTGTTGCAGTTTAATATTTGATTGACATCATTATTACCAATCAAAAATATGCATGTGCTTTTTAGGGATTATTGTACATGATCAATGATTGATAAAATTATAATTACAAATAAGTCAAATGCCAAACAGGCAGAGGTGTTTTCTTCGTGTTAAAAAAAATATTTTGAAAGATATATATATACATGTACTGTTCAAAATGTAAACTTCAGCCACCATACATGATTAGAAAAATCTTGAAACCTAAAGGTTTCTAAAAGGCTTAAACCTTTTGTAAAATTTGTAAAAGCATTAGTCATGAAGGTTTGTATTAAGTTTGTAATTTTTTCCACTTGTAAATTAATTTTCAGGTCCGTAGGCAGCTCACATCTGTGGGATACTACAGTGATGCAGAGTCTGTCCGGACTAATGGGCTGACAACACCAACAGCCTCCACACCTGCTTGTTCACCTTTGCCACTTTCCACCCCAACTCCTACCCCTAATGGTCGTGGATCATCAGCAGACTCTGGTGTAAGATTTTCAAGCGATCGAGATTCGACTGCTAGTCATGACGGTAAGTTGAATTTGTTAGTTAATGAATAAATGACAGGTCAGAAGTTTAGATTTGTTTATAACTTTTTTGTTGGTCCATTACTATTACTGTATATAGGAGGAAATTTTGTAAGCTCTTGTGTAAGTCGGGTTTTTATTTATGCCGTATATATCATGCTATTCTTGGAAACCAAAACTTAAAAATAATGTGTGAAAAAGAAACCAAATGGATATATATATATATATATATATATATATATATATATATATATATATATATATATATATATGTATATATATGTATATATATGTATATATATGTGTATATATATGTGTATATATATGTATATATATATATATATATATATATATATATATATATATATATATATATATATATATATATATATATATATATATATATATATATATATATATATATATATTTATATATATATATTATATATATATATATATATATATATATATATATATATATATATATTTATATATATATATATATATATTTATATATATATATATATATATATATATATATATATATAATATATATATATATATATATATATATATATATATATATATATATTTATATAATATATATATATATTTATATTTATATAATATATATATATACTGTATTTATATTTATATAATATATATATATATTTATATATATATATATATATATATATATATATATATATATATATATATATATATATATATATATAATATAATATATATATATATATATATATATATATATATATATATATAATATATAATATATATACACATACACACACATGGAGAATAATCACAAATGAAATCAGAAAATATTTGCTGGGGTGCTTTTGCCTTATCAGGGCATCATCAACAGCTTGACTGGCAAGTATAGAGAAAGAAGAAGCAGGTTTTAGGGAGGGGAGATGAGGTATTTTGTGCATTGGGTGAAATAAAACACCATAGGCAATATAACTTTTTATTAAATTTATATATTAATAATAAAATATTTGCAACAGCAAGTTGCATGGAATTGTTGCAACTGCAGTTGCTAGTAATTTGCAACTGAAGCTGATGGATTGTTTGCAGCTTCACAGTTGCTAGTAAGTTGCACTTGCAGTTGCAGCCTTTGGTATATATGTGCAGGGATACATGTTACGTGACCTTAATAAATATACTGTACAGAGGAGCCTCGATTAACGAATTTAATCCGTTCCAGCACCGAGCTCGTCATGTGAAACGCTTATCTTGCGAGATGAATTTCCCCTTTTAAAATAATGGAAATAAAATTAATCCTTTCCATCCCTGAAACACATCAATATGAAATTTTATAATGTAATTATAATACATACATGTAATTACAGTATTATGTTTTGTTTTACTGTTTTCAATTGTACTTTACCTTATAAAGAGTCGTTGCTGGCTTGAGGGAGATGCTGGAAAATTGGGGAGGAGGAGATGGGTTACGGTGTGGAAGAAGAATCCACCTCTGAGTCATGCGATTTCCTTCTTCAAATCTACAGTAATGGTGTCTTTCTTCCTCTTGACAACACTATCTTGAGCAAGCAGCTTCCTTGGTGACATCGTGGTTACAAATTGTAGTCGCAAAACCACAAATAAATGCAGAGTGGTGCTTGTCCTGTGCGATAAAACAACAACACTGTCTTCGGAGGCGTCCGAGAATTTGCGAGAACCAGTGGGAACGCTAGGAAGCACCACGTGGTTTTCTCGTTAATCGAGCGGAAGTTTGTCAATCGAGAAATTTTCTGCGAGTGGCTCACTCGTTATCTAAAATGCTCGTAGATGGGGCTAGAGAATTCTCGTGCACTTAACCACGAGGTAATCCTAAATAATTAACATTACTAATTCCTCTGTACATATGTGTCTAACAATTGTACATTATGAACTCAATGGACATTTCACATGTCACTAGCCCTCTTAATATTCCATAATATATAGCTAATTTATAGAATACTTTAGCTTCTTTGTATGACATGGATATATGTGTGGGGGAGGCAATCTCTTGGCACAATAATTTAAACATCAGTTGTGAATTGTAGAAATTAAGGCCATTTATCAATAATGTCCACCAGTCCACCAGTCTCCGTGGTGTAGTGGTAAGACACTCTCCTGGCGTTCCGCGGGTGCTTTGTCCTGGGTTCATATCCTGGGCGGGGAAGATTTACAGGGCTCAAATCCTTAACTGTAGCCTCTGTTTAACTCAACAGTAAAATGGGTACTTGGATGTAAAAATGATTCTTCATGGGGCGTCGTATTCCAGGACCATAGGATTAAGAACTTGCCCAAAACGCTTCGCGTACTAGTGGCTGTACAAGAATGTAAGAACTCTTGTATATATCTCAAAAAAAAAAATAATGTAGGAATGATTAAAATGGTGAATTAAAGACTTATTGAAATGCTAACATTTTCTACAAAGATAACTGAAAACACTACACTACCTGCTACTCTCACCACTGAAACAAGCTTTGCCTTAAAAATTCAAAGAAAGCAGAAGTGTTATAAGAAATGTGGTAAAAAAAAGCTGATTGTTTTACCCTTTTGTTGCATTTGGAATGGTAATGAACATGCACATAAGAGCATGCATGCATAAGTTTTTTGTATACCTTTAAAGTCCATTGTTATACTAATTTAGTCAGTGTTATTTGTGTAGGCTAGTGAGAGGGAAATGTTCTTTAATGAAACAATGTGCTTGAAGGAAAGATTCTCGTTTGTTTAATTTTCTCGGTGTTAAATCAGTCATGATCTAGGGTTGGGGAATGTATGATCAATGATGAGAAGCTCCATGGATACAATAGAAGAAAAATATTGAGAACCCCAGACTCAAGAGTATGGAATTTTACTCCACATATAAAGTGGAGTAAAATTCTTTCTCATAGAGCAAATCCCTAATCGGTTAATTCTTAAGTTGAAATTAATTTCAATACGATACGATTTTTTACTGTCCCAACAATGAAACATGGGTAAACAAAGGCCTCAAGTACTATACAGTATTGTGCTTGTAAAGCATATACTCAGGGCAGATTCATTTGGTTGCCTCATAAGGTAAAAACCCATTATAAATAGGAGAAAGAATCATGCACGCTGATCCACGGATACCTCTGGAAAGGATATTTTGGTCACCATTTAATCTTCATAAACCCATACCAAATGAACTACTGTGAAGGCTTTAACTGAGACTTTGACTTGTTGACCAGAAAGTCAGATTTTTTAAACTCCACCAATGCTAGATCTCTTGCCTGCAAACACTGAAGATAGGTCCTTTGTCCCAGCCAGGCCCTCGGAAATAACCTCTCAAGCCCAAAAATCCCTTAGCCACCACAGCAATACTTGGACATACCATAACCTCATTGCGCACTCCTTCCAAGTGGAAACTAATCTAATGTGCTCTATAGGTAAACACTTGGTAGACAGTTTTGAATACATAGTCCTTTATTAGCACAAGTTTATTTAAACTCCATTTACAAAGTAAAGTAATTGTCCAGCATGTTTTGCTGTTTTCACAATCCGAGCAAGACTGTCCAGTTCTCTGGCCACGTGTGATAAAGCTGGGATCGCAAGTAGTTAAACTGGATCTCACTAATGATTAATATATCAAGAGTGGTTAAGCCTATTTTTAAGTTTCTATCACAAAAGTAAAATCAGCAATTTAAGAATGATTTTCAATTATATAAATTTTATCATAAAATTGGTATATTGTGTGTTTCGCAGTGACTCACTCTCTTTAATATAATCATGGTAGTATTTGAAAAAATGCAGATGTAAAAAACTGCAAAATACAAAGACTTTTCAAAGGCATTTGATAAGTGACCATGGACTGATAGTCCACAAATTGAGAGCAACAGGAATAATGCCGGAACAAAGGTGGACTTTTTAAAAAACCCAGTGTTAAATATAGTGAAACGTCAATTTCTGGAGGAGCCTCAATGACTCCCTGAAGCTATATTCCTGAAATTGCTTCACACTAAAAGGTCATATCAGCTGTGGCTAGTTCTATAGGCCTTCAGGAGACCAGAGCCAGAACCTTGCCCCCCCCCCTCACCGAGGCACAGAGAGCAGGTGACAGTCCGCTACCTCACCAGAGAAAGCCTCCTGAAGTCAGCACAGCTTTATAGAAAACTGCAGGGTCCTCAGAAAGTCTCAAAAAACTATTACAATTGAGTTACACAGAACAAGGAATTCACTGAGATGAGCTCAAAACTCATTAGTACTGACCAGGCAGCCTGGACCTAGTTCATGTCAATTCTGGACCTGATGAACAAGCACATGATGAACCGATGAACCTGGAGGGTGGGAGGGGAGGCTGAGAGCCACTGGAGCTCCTCCAGTAATTGGCATTTCATTACATTCAATGCTTGGTTTCTGGAGAGAGCCTCTCTTGGCTCCCTGAAGATAAACTAACCACAGAGAACAAGAAGGGGACTTACCAGAAAGGAAAGGAGGGAGGCGGAAGGCACTTAGCTAGAAGAATTGGAGCTTGCCCACAAGCTGGCATGACAGGAACCACTACAAGTTGGTGTGGGGAACACCATCAGGAACAGAACTGACATGGGGAGCCAGCTGGGAGCTGGGGCCAGGCCGCCTGGTGGTGGGAATCGGTAATAGCGAGTTTCAAGCTCGCTTGAGTGAATCCTTTGTTTTGTGTGACTCTTGTGCAGTACTGTAATAACTTGGTAGGTTTATTGAGGTTTTGTTCTTTGTGAACCCTCCAGGTATCTGTAAAGCTGTGCTGACTTTCTGGAGGCTTCCTCTGGTGAGGTGGCAGATTGTTTCAAGCTCTCTGCACCTCTATGAGTGGGGGCCCAGGTTCTATCTCTGGTCCCTTGAAGGCCTACAGAACCAGCTGTGGCTGATACGACCTTTAAGTGTGAAGCAACATCAGGAAGAGAAACCAGGGAATCACAAAGAGCTCTCTCCAGAAAGCAATTGGATATGTTCCTGGAAGAATTGCCAGACCAACCTGGTTGTATTGGATAT